TATAAAATTGCAAGAACGATTATTTGAGGTGCAAGATTTGACATAACCCCAAAAACGCTTTGGGTTTGTGGCAACAGATTCTTTAAGCTTATGCGCGTATTCTTGTCTTTTTTTTAGCTAAAAGTTGTTTTGCAGCACGTCGGAGATCGTCGTATTTTTTCTTTGCTGATTGCGAGCGGACTTTGTTTACAATCCGTCTCTGTGTGTCTTTCTTTTTCAAAAGGAAACGCATTTCATTATCAATCCATGGGTGGTCGTGCACGTTACGGGAACTAGACTTGGGAATATGACTGTCAACTGCACAAAGAAATAAGTCACTCCAATTAGCAAGTGTTAAGTCGACGTCATTAGGAACAAAGCATAGGTCCCAGGAGATATTACTGATGTTGTATGATGGGTAACTCTAGTTGCTTTCGTTATTAATGGGAAATATGAAGACGTAAACAATTGTTCTAAAAAACGGTTTGAATAATCACAAGATTCTGATTTAAATAGATCTATATTGAAATCACCTATAAGATAACAAATTTTGTTTTCTTTATCAATTATATCTAGGATTTTTTCCAATGAATTTTCGAACGAATCATTCTTATTGTTTGGTGGCCTATAAATTTCACCTATAATTATATTTTTACCAGTATTAGTGAGTATTTCTACAAAACGTGTTTCAATAGTATCTTCTATATTAAAGGTTAGGTCTGAGCGGATTTTGTAATCTAAATCTTTTGTGATATATAAACCAACACCGCCGCCTTTTTTGTTAGTCCGATTCGAAACAATAAAGTCATAGTTATCTAGTTGAAAATTGTCTGTGTTATAAATATCGCTTAACCATGTTTCGGATAAGCCTATTACGTGGAAATTTAAATTTAATGATTTAATCCGATGCTTGAAGGAGCAGAATTTGTTACAAATACTTCTTATGTTAAGATGCATTATTGAGAAATCGGTTTTTACGTCCATATTGTGTGTTTTTTTTTAAACTCATGTGGAAGATAATAATCACACTGCATCATTTCAGTGTTGAGGCATGTGTCTATTTGTGAATCATTATTGAAGACTTCCGGACCTATTTGTTGATTGAGAAAAAAGGAATTGAATTTCAATCTATTTAGTCTATCCATATCTGTATCACTGAATACTTTTTTATGGTGAAATGCCGAAACTTTAGAATTAGTAACATTTTGTGAAAGCAAATTTTTGTTACTTTCCGTTATTTGTTCCATAGTTGAATGTATATATAATATCAATTAATGTAAGCGTGATAGCATATTTTGTTTATATGTAATATGAAACCTAGTGAGTAGAATTATGTCTAAAAAGTTGGCCATCTATATATAACTTATCTCTAACTAATTTTACTCTCCTACCATCCTCACATGCTTTCTTCATTTCTGGCAGTAGTCGCTTTCTTAATTTAACAATTTACTCCGGGAACTGTTCAGAAATTGCAATTCCTGTACCCTTTAATCGCTCCGTGTTAGCCAGTATACGTTCCTTATCTGGGTAAAAATTAAATTTCGCGACAATGGCTCTTGGTCTTCTCGATCCCGGTGTTCCTCGGCCTATTCTGTGTGAACGGTCTATCTTTATAGTCTTTGCATCCGATATTCCAAGTTGCTCTTGTAATAAGTTATGTATGAGGTTGTTCGTATTTTCGTCCTCATGCTCTGGTAAATTATAAAACATTAAGTTGTCGCGCATTGACCTTGCTTGTAGGTCAATGACACGACTATTTAATGCTGAATTCTGCTCTTCTACTTTCGCCAATCTTTCTTTCGTCTCAGAGTCTGACTTCTTTAGCTCTGCCAGGGTGCGATAATTCGCGTACCGGAGGTATGCCAAATTTATGGTCTGGTACTTCTTTGTTTTTAGGCAAGTACCACGTAGGTACGCGGAAATTTGCTATTTGCGTACTTACATTTTCCTTCTAGCAATAACTAGCAAACCTGCTAAAGTATTCAAAACCGTGAAGAACTTTAGCTGTACATGTAAATTCCACGCATCCGACATATTTTGCGCTTGATCAAAAAATTTATCGTCATCCGACTGAAAAAAAATCGCTCGGGTGAGCGATTTTAAAATCGTTATCGTCAAACGCCGATAATTTTATCGTTTTCGTTGTAGTGTGGACACCAACATAATTTTTTTACCAATCATCGCGTGTTTACAAGTTATTGTATCATTATCGTTGTCTGGTGTGACCTGGGCTTAATTGTCAATGCTATACCAAGGCCTAAAAATAAAATACCTGTGGTTCCGATTTCCCGACCGACCCTATTTTCTTCTGCCCACCCTATTATTTTTTTCAACATGATTGACCGTGCGACCCTATTTTCTCCGGATGGTTCCGGGCTGCTCGTACAGCGTGCCAAAATGGCGTCTGTTGTCACAATAATTATTGGGCCAAATTGCCTAAATTCGTCCGTAGGAACTACGTATCTGTAGTTAATATTGATGTCGGGACTCTACTGAAAATTGCCCAGCAAAAAACTGCCAAAACCATGAAAAAAATATTCAAAAATTTTTTTATTTCCGATCTACCCACCCTAATTTTTTCGCGATATGAAACTGGAACCACAGGGTTTTTTTTAGGCCCAATGAGGAAAACTACACTGTATGTATGTATGTAGCTGAGGTCAGACTGTTAGCACCCTCTGTAAATCCACTGCAAAAGTGCAAATGAGCGATGGTATTTGAGTCATAACGTCGATGCTTTGAAAACTGTTATATATTATGTTTTACAAATACCATAATTAAAGATTCATTTGTACAAAATTGCCCATACATTTTTTGCTTTTGGACCAGTAAACTATATGTAGGTATAAAAACGCATGATGCGGAAGTAATCTTAGGTATGTCTTGACTCTTAAGTTTGTACCAGACCAGGTACGCGGCAAAAGTTGTCGGAGTACCAGTCAGGTACGGCTAAAAATATTGAATTATCGCACCCTGGCTCTGCGTTTTCTTTCTTCAGCATTTCAACTTCAGCATACGCATATTCTAAAGATTCTCTTACTTCTTTCAGTTCTTGTTCCATCGATATCATACGGCCGTCAATAATAATATCTAGTTTACCCAGCTTGCTCATAATCATTTCGAACATATTTTCAACATTCATAGGCTTTTCTTCGTGTAAATTATCTCCTTCTTTATTGGCATTTATGGTTTTCTTTGCTTTCTCTAGAACCGGTTTCTTGGGCGTTTTTGATGGAGTATTTGTTAAAAAGTAGTTAAGAGTTTTATACAACCGACCCCTGCTCTTTAGGGAGTTCAATGTATTCATTACTGTATTTTACCTTTAGCGAAAGTCGTATTTGTTTGACGTCTTCATGTTTCAGCATGTCATATATCGTAAAGTCTCTTTTTTAAGTTCACAAAATGCTGGTGTGCATTTATGGCTGCATCAAATATGAGTACTTAGGATATAAAACTGTCCACACAATCATTAGCATCGGCTTGACTTCATGTATGTTCAAAACGTCCTGATGTTTGTCCCCGCATCAGTTTGGCTGCTTGCATTTCCACCATTTTTAAAGTTTTTTCCACAAAAATAGTGATTGTTTAATATTAAAAACACTTAAATAAAAAAATACACTGTAGTTGAACAAAAAATCCCTAATTTTATGTTTTTGTGTTTAGTATTATAGTATATTTTACTTGAACTTTGTATTTTTATACAGCAAAACTCATAACATACAGCGATACTAAAAAAAAAAAAACTAATATGTAATAACATGTAAAAAATATCTTCGCTACAATTCCCAAAAGATAATCAGGGCTATATTGAGTTAAACTTAGAGTGGCATTGTATGTATATGATAATTTAATGCAAATTAAGATCACTCACCTTTCACAACTGTGCAGAGTTCAATAACAATGGCAGGAAAATATATTGTAATTACTGCTGACCAGCCAACAAAAAGCTCATTTGATTCTCAGGCCCCAAACCTGGAAAATGTTATCAAACATCTGGCAAAGGAGTATATTCTTTGTCAAACCCCATGGGCCTGAATATTGGATTAAATACAGGTCGGCATTTATTTTCAAACGAGCCAATTCAGTTTATAACATAGCCTTTTAAAAATACGGGCGCTGATTGGTCAAAAGCTCAAAAAACCCGTGTTTCTATAACTCGATAGAAGCACTGGGAATTTTCATGCGGGTTGTGTGGATTGCACAGGAATTTAAAAGACAAAATACAAACAATATTTAATTTTGAACAGAGTTGAAAAATGTCCTGAAATGCTGAAGAACCGTTACAAAAAAAGAAAGAACCGTTACAAAAAAAGGCAACACTTTGCTAACTTAGAAAGTGAAGACCTAGAGCACAAAGTATAATTATAGCACACATTGTATCTGTTTGACTGTTTACCAAGGTAAGATATTTTACTTTGTCTTTTTAAAAAATTATTTCCTCGCAACGTTTTTAATCATGTTTACTACAGTTTTTAATCATGTCTAAACGTTCACTAACTATTTTATATACTTAGTAAAGCAAGCCTGTTAAGTGCTGTCTGTTGTGTTGACAGTGATATATGTGTTTACTTCGCTATGCTTTTATAATTATTCTTTACACAAACATATATTAAGGTGGAATTAATGTTTGAATGAAAGCAATTAAAATCAATAAATTTATCTTTTCTATTGTTTTTAAAAGGCTATTTAATAAAGGAAATAGAAAACATTTTTTCTGTGTTCCTATAGAGTTTATAGAAACACTTGTGAAAGTTTGGGAGAAACTTGAACTTGCGTGGAAACACTTGCACTTCGTGCTCTTGTTCCCACGCAATTTCTTGTTTCTCCCAAACTTTCATGTGTGTTTCTATAACTCTATAGAAACACAGAAAATGTTTTCTATTTCTTAATTATTTCAGCTTATTTGATAATTTATTTTGACCTTAATGCTTGATCTTAATGCATGACCTTGACCTCTGATCACTTTGAGGATACCACCAAACGAATGAGCATGCTAAAATTAGTCAGAATTCACACCTCATATGCGTTTATATGTCACTTATATCACATTTGTGTCGGTTTTCTTTTATCGTCTGAGGTTTATAACTAGCTAATATACCTTGAATAAATAATTACATCAAACTTTTCAACAAAACGCGAGAATTTTTCATAATTTTTTTTTGAAAATGACAAAATATGTTAGAAAACCTCCACAAATGTGATATAAATCGAACTATAACTGATATATAGTCGGTTTATAACTGATATATTGCCCTCGGACGCTCGGCGTCCTCGGGGGCAATATATCAGTTCTAAACCTCCTTCTTGGTTTATAATTTAACTTACAGTGGCGCCGCCAGGTCAATAATTGGGGGGGGGGGCGAATATTCATATATTTGTGTTCACAGACCATAAAAACAATCGATTTCAAAAGAAGTTAATAATGCAGAACATGAAGATATGAATATTCGCCCCCAGCCCAATTACCGACCTGGCAGCGCCACTGGTTACTTAGTTCGAAAATTAGGTTCATTTGAATACCAGACTGTATGATGGCAGCCATCTTGGATTGGGCCTGAAAGCAAGAATTTTGCATGTGTAAATAAAAAACAGGTTTCCCATGGCCAGATTCGAGTAGGCGTTTTTTGTGTGCATTAATAGTTCCCTAATAAACCTATTTCACTTGAGAAACATTTGTTAACATTTTTGTCCAACCTCATCACTGTAAAAAAATCATAAACTCTACGGCGTTAATTACAGTAATATGCAATTATGAAATTTGTTACTTTTTAGGAGCCTCAGCAAATAACTGTTGGCCACAAATCAGTCGCAAGAAGGTCTGGAACAAACAATGAAAGAGATAATGTATATATTATTGCTTGTGATATTAGAGTGTGAGAGATGGGAGAGTTATACTAGTACTGTTACCACTCAATGGGTTAATATATGTTTTATGTTTCACATATTGGCATTAGACTGTATACATCAATTAAAATTGATAGTCATTGGTAGTCATTTATAGATACGGATTGGCCATCGAAATACCAATGGCTTTATTGAAGACTTTTGTGATGGCCAGTTGTCTAAAGCTCATCCATTGTTTTTTAATGACCCATCTGCATTGCAACTGCTGCTGTATTATGATGAGTTGGAGGTTACAAATCCTCTTGGTAGCAAAAACTAGGTAAGGTTGGACTGTATACTTATCTACATGCTAAAGGTTACAATATTTCTAGGTTTTCAGTGTGTCAAAAGGCATAATCTGTGTATGTGAAGGGCAGGAAGCTTGAAATACCCCCACTCTTTGCATTCCCACTAGTATGCCTTATATGCAGGCTAAACAGGCATTGCGTTAAATTAGTTGGTCCATATAATTAAAAATAACCTAAAATTGCATTTCTATTACTTTGGTGTTATCTACTTAACTCTTGACAATATACCGCCAAAGTACAGTTCTACTCTAAATGCTATTCAACTGCTTGCATTCGCTACATATCCAGTAATTAAGGAATATTGCATTGATACCTTGATGGAGGCAATTATGAATGATCTTGCATATAATGAGCAAGTATGTTACTATATTAATTAAACTTTGGTTTTTTATGAACCGTTGTTTAAATGTGTCAGCAGTATTTTGCTATTATGCTTATAAGGCGAGAGCACTGGTGCTTAATGTGTTAACAATCGTAAATTTAAACAGTCATCTAGGTTTTTTCAACAACAGTTAAACTTAAGTTGTATTACTGTATATTTAAGGATGGTAGTTACCAGTTTATGGCAAAGCATCGACCAGTGTCATTTTCTGGAACAATTGTTTTCGTGTCTGGAGACAACTTGCT